AACAACAATTTTAATGAAATTAACTGTAATTTTTTCCTTCAACTATGTGTCATTCTGTCACGCTAAATAAAACAAACATGAACATGGTGATAAAACAGAGAAATTAATATGAAAATTAAAAACTGACAATTTATTTTTTATTATATTTTTTAGGAAAATTCAAAACATTTTTCAATCTATATTTAACAAGGTTACAAAAACAATAACAGGGAACGCCAATACAGCAGTACAGTAGACCTAATAAATTGAAAATCACTCATTTTATTTCCTCAAGAGGAAGGCAGATTTCTTCAAAATAAGGGTTTGTTCATCGAGAATTTTGAAAAAAATATAATCTTTACTTATCCAACTAAACAATACTATCGGCAATTTCATAGACGTGTTGTTCACAGACGATGACGCAGCGATGTGGCATCTCGGGAGATCCGGTGAGTGTCGGTACTTGCTTCGTCTCGGCAAAGTTTGTAGAATCATAGATACCTAGATTATACTTATAGGTACGATAGATACCTAAATTATATCAAATAACATATTATTTATATATAGATACCTAGAATATATCAAATAACACATTATTTATATATAGTGTGATTTTGATTTTTTTTTTCTTGAATAGTAACTATTTTATTGTTGCTTTGGTTATTTCATGTGCTACTGTGTGCGAAAGTTCCTTTTAAGTACATGATATTGTAAACAAAGATTGGATAGCCCACGGGTATGTTAAAGCCTAAAGCCTAAACTTACGCGTGTGACAAACAATAATGGCATTTAACCTTCATATCATATCATTTTATTTGCATTCCACAAAGTGTTTTATAGGTGGTAGGTATACAAGGCTTAAAGCTACAGTACATTTATGGACACTGTTAGAGCGCAGCAATATAGTTTAAAAAAAACAAGAATGTGATGTTCAATCATGCTTGTTGGTGTTGCAGTATCTTTTACTTGCTCTTTAAATAAAAGTGGTTTTAAAAACACAAGGTTCCTTATTTAAATAAATATTCGGGCCAGACTACGTAATGCATTTTTCTAAGATTTCCTTTTCCTTTAGTTGTTTACATCACATCATTAGCCTATAAATGCTCATTACTGAGCAAAAGCCTCTTATCATACGGAGAAGGTATGAGCGTTAATTACCGCGCTTGCTCAAGGCAGATTGTTGATATCAAACTTTAATTTGAAATTAGAAGTAAAGGTTCCCTCAAGATATTTTCTTTACCACATGTCAGTGGTTTCTAAATAATCTTACAAAGTAACTTGGAAAAAGTGACATTGGTACTTGCTAGGTTTCGAACATGCATCCTTATGAACGAGAAGCAGGCATCTTAACAACCATCACAACATATTAAGGTACTTAATATTGGTGTTCACAACTAGTCGCGTTGTGGCTATTTTGAAGAATAAGTTTGACGTTGTTATATTTAGGTACGTTTTAACAACGACATTCCAAGCCTATAAATATATTTTGTTTTGATAAATACCTTTACGTAAATCCTGGAAATATCGTCCTACAACACACACGTTTTGTTTTCATTTCATTCCGAAGAATTCTTATTCTATGTAAAGCGTGGTTTTCTCAGAATATCGCCGAAGCTCCCGTTAAAGCTTCCGGCTCCATTTTTTTCGCTAATACTTGCCAATATCCTGTACCGTATTGCGTTTGTTTTGTTATACTTATTTTAGGACTTATTTTTCAATGGTTAGATAAAAGTTATCTGGGAAATAATTATGATGCTGTCGCGTCAGAATGTTTGTATAAGACAGTGACAGCATTAATTTTATACCTCAGTTAACATTTATCTGGCTATTGAAAATAAAGCCTTTAGACTCATAATATTATTAGAGCTTAGATCGAGTTACATATTTTTGACTCTTTTTTATTTCATACGGTGACATATTTGGATACGAATTATTACTTGATAGTAAGCAATCGGTGTCCCACATAGACGTCCTCAACATTAGAGGTGTTGCGAGTGCTTTGCCAGTGATTTGGAGATTAGAGGATTTAGAAATATGGGCAAGGGAAGGATTGGGCCTTCCTGTGTAACTTACTCAAAACACATCATTGTGGCTGTTTTACGAAGATTTTCTGTGAGGCCGTGGTATCGCTCTACTCAGTGTCAGCCCATTCATGCCGAAGCATGGCTTCCTCACACTGTTTTCGCATTTACTGAATCAAAGTTACCGAAATAATCAGAATTTAGTATTCAGGCTACAAGTTTTGAACAAATTTTGTAGGAAAAAATAGACTATCATCATTTAGAACCAATCTGTTAAAATATTATACGTAAACACTATACTCAACAGTTACTATAGCATTTTTAATGTGATAGGACGACAAACTAGCTAATGGATTATTTGATGGTAAGCAATCAGCGCCACCAGTAGACACCGGCAACAACAGAGGAGTTACGAGTGCCTTGTCGAACTTTTGGGGATTAGGGATTGGAGATTTTAAAATTGTGGGAGGAACTAACGATTCGAACGAACTAGTTCAAATATTTTTATTTGTCATGTTCAACATTGTTCATATGCGGGAAAAACATATATTGCATCAACTATAGGTATATAGTTCTACTCTCGACACGGTTCAATTAATTCGAACCGGTCACACTGTTGTGTTAATACGTACGGATAACCGGACCGCACTTCGCCGTTTTACATGCAGATATATAAGTACTTTATGTTAATACGATTAGGTAAACTAGCACTGCAGACAAAAACCAGGAATTTTGAAAATTTCATACTTGTTTTCGTCGTTGGTTATGGAAAAAGTGCTTACTGCTTGTGAGCTGCTATGTATGAATTAAAAAAAAATAAGTTTTATTTTGAATGGTTCATTCCATCTTACATGAGGTGGTGAGATTCCGAGGGTGAGGCGAGAGGGAGTGTCAGATTCTTTCTTCATTTGGAGTTGAGCTCCAGAAAATAAATATAGGTTTATTAAAAAAACAAAACCAAGGTTGCTATTTTCATTTATTTATTTAATAAATCACAACAACATGTTTTTAAAAACAATAGATCGATGGTGATATTAATTGACGCTATATCTATAAGTATGGATAGAGATGTAGGTATGTGGCCGCAATATGCTTGTTACTAATAATTCAATGACTATTACAGGCTTCAAATATTCAAAAAAGTACCCACACTTTAATATAATAGAATTCAATTTTCGGTCTACAACTTTACATCCAATGACGTATTATATATAGACACGTCATGAACCAACATCGCGGCGCTTAAAAACGGCGAAAATACAAGATAACTACTTCTACGACTAAAGAAAGGGAAAGCAAATATGACATCGTATAGTGGAATGCCTTTGCTAGAGGGAGATAAATATACATCTTCAGTTATGCCGACGGCACGTGACTATACCTTCATGCGCCGGCCGCCACAAGATGGCGGGCACCGGCGTCGAAAAAAATAAAATAAAAATAGGTTGTTTGGTGAACTTACGCATGAAATGACACATTTTTGTATTTAACTTTTAGAGTATAATTTGTACATCCTCTGAACACACACGACGGCATGCTTTCTTTAGTTTCGCACAGGTTTACACACACGATATAAATTATAACAAACGTAGCGTCGCGCGGGAGGTTGGTGCGTGACTAAGCGCGATGTTGTCAAATTGCCTTCATTTCATGTTGCCATTTTAGAGCGCGGACAACGTATCTATAGATTTATACATCATTGTTTACATCTAAGTCTTCGCTGGTCGATTTTTTATGATTTTGGATTCCTTATGCTATGACAATAGAGTTCAACCTACTTTACGACACTATTTTGTCGCCCGTAGTTGCTAGACGCAACTTTTGTCAATTCAATTAACAAATAAAACCACTAAGTAATAACCTACTACTTAAATGCGTAAGTACATACATAATATACTCGCAAACATCAGACTAACAACAACAAAATGTCGGAAAATTAAAAAGAAAAAGAAATTCAATATAGAACAATGGGCAAATCCTGTTCAGTGCGAGTTGAACTCGCTAGAAGTTGGTATACCAATATTATCCTAATAAAAATACTTACATTTTATCACTTTATTACATTCTCATATTAAAAATCGATCAGTGAGTTATACATAGCAGAACTTCTGTAATATAAGTTGCTCAACTATTACTTAAGTATGTACAGTCAAATCTTGAGTATGTACTATCAACAAAAGTTATGATTGACCTGATATCATTGTTTTGTGTTCAATATTCGACTTACTTATTAGTTTACATATATTTTGCTGTGACCCATTAATGATATCTATTGACATGTTTACAGCCTCAATATAACTAAAGCTACAGAGTCTGTCATCATCCCTTTTGTCGATAGTACATGAAATTCGTGTGTCATGTTCGAAAATCGTGGACTTCCATTACAATTAAATAATACCTACTGAAATATATCTGTGATTGTTCAAAAAGATTACGTAGTCAATCCTAATTTGTTGAACACGAAACTCTATATCAAATAACCTCATTAGTATTTACAATATTATTTTTGGCACGAGGGTCTAACGTATCACAAATTTATTTGAAAATGTGAAGGCGAATAGGTACCTACAGTTTAGGTAAAAGATGGGAGAAATAATATAAAACATTTCATTTGGATGAAAGCAGAAAGTGCTTATTAGTGTCCTATTTCTTACAATTATTATAATTGCGTGTACATTGTATAAGAGTAGAGGCGTTGTCTCATAGGTTTCAATTTTGAGCTTTCATTTATAATTTAGTATTTCAAAACAGTAAATGGCAGGATAACATAACTCTAAATGGCACTTAAATACTAGATAGTGTACATAAAACTCTAACCGCCCTTAGCTTCATAAATCAAAAAGGAGGTTGAAATACTTGAAATTACAAAACGTACTTATTTGTTCCCAACAGGTCAACGCTAGTATCAGTTAAATTCTCTGGGTATAATTCATAAATTACTCTCTTAATAATATTGTACTTATTAGAGAAAATTTTGAGTAGGTACTCCTAGTGTAGTTTTAATTAGCGTCTAGACTAGAAGGTATGTGAATAGTGTAGTAAGGAGTAAGTTTGTGTATAAAACTGGTGCGCTGTTCTCTTTGGCAGGGAGGAAGGAGCTCGGGGCGGCCGGGGCCGACACGGCGTGGTTGTGGACGCGGGACTCCTCATCCGCGCCGCTACCTTCACCCTCGTCCTCATCGTCGTCAGAGGGCGCCGTCGGCTCTTGTTTCAAAGCCTCTGCTCTCGGCTTCTCCACGTCTCTCAATGTAGTCTGAGTGTTTATTGTCCCCGGGACCGTCACCATTGTCGTCGTTTGCGACAAATTTCTCGAAATAATCGTCGTCGTTTCACTTAATTCAATTGTTATCGCTTTGTAGAGATCGTCATCCGTGATGTTGGCAAACTTGGATGTTTGGAAGAATATTAACGCCATGTCTACAGTACTATTTGCAGCAGGCTGAGTAAAATTAAGAAGTTCTCGTCGCAGTTCTGGAGAGAACGGCGTGTTGCAAAGTTCGGTGTGACACACACAAGTCAACTCAAGTGAATTATTTACGTTATTCTTTATTGAACACGGTGTGTTTGTGGCTGCAGCACACGTCAGCGATGAAACATAATCTGTAGAGAATATTAATAACAGTTTAATATTCCATCCGATAAACTCTTAAATGTTCAATCTAAAAATATAGATCCAAAACGAGCGTCTGCTATAAAGAAATATGATAATTTCCATCCAATTTTGCTCACCGCTTATTCAACTCACAATAACATTACCATTCCTCGCTGAAAGAGCAATTTTTCTTTGACAGAGCAATAACATACTAGAGTGTAATGAAATTACGCCTGTACGCGCCTCATGGGTTTATTTTATCATCTGCATTCTCAGCTAGCTTCGTTCAGAGTGTTTAAGCGTAAGTAGGATTTGATTCACATATTCAAAGTAATGTGCTATTAAATACAATAAAAGTCGATTGTCAGCGTAAACATTCACCTTTGAAACTGAAAATGCTTTTTATCAAGTTGACATTATTCTGATCATTAATATGTAAAAGACGCTGAATATATTTGGCTGGAGTATTACCGGGAGCTGTAGCGACAGTGGCACACAGCGGTCGATCCTCCGGACAGGCGACAGATGGCCAATTGCCATCACACGTGGTCCCGTTCCCGAGAGCACACGCATGGCACCGGCTCGGACGTATATCTGAAAAAAAGTGGTCATTAGTAATGTATGTCACAGAGTGCGCAACATTTGCAAATGTCAAACACAACCATCGTTATGCCCCATTTATAAAGTGACGGGTTGCGACAACTGACAGATGCCAGTCGAAGATTGAATTGCCAACTGCTAACTCGGTCAAAGGTGAAACTGAACTGAGAGTTCGGTGATTGGGTTAGCTTTGCGGTCTTTGACTTGGTAGCCTATTTAAAGCTTAGCTGTTACTTGTGAATATCTGATACCGACTTGAATACATTTATGTATGAATGATGACGTCATAAACAAACTGCCTCTTTCTTTGATAACACCTGCCAGAAAGATTTTGAATTCCCTGAATATACTTTATCGGATTATAATAAAAGTAAGTGTATTATAAAACTATAGCTTTATTCTTTTTTCGTTTGTTTGTTGAGTGCTACCCGCGAACCTTATTATTGGATTCTCAGACCTTCTATTTTAATTAAAATTTAGCAGTATAGAAATGTAAACAAAGAAACTAAGCGTGGTGCGTTTGTGTAATCAAGGCAATTATCATTTGCTACACCGAGTTCCCGTATACACAATTAGCATTGGACCGGGAATCGAGTCTGAATACGTAATCACGAGGAAATTCTTAGTAAAACATGTTCTGTATGTATTTACAATGTAAATGTCATATAGAATTCTCGCCTTTTACCTCCCGGTGGAGTAAGCGAAGGTGCACTTTAAATGTTACAGCTATTTGCAAGTTATGCTATGAGTCCCATGTTATAAAAAGCCTGTTTGTTGCCCTATTCTAGAAACAACTCAAATTTTTGTGCAAGACAATTGAAAAGTCAAAAGTCAAAATCATTTATTTTACTTAGAGACTTACAGGTCAAACAAAGCTTAAAAATTGACAGTCTGTCGGCGAGTGAAGCCAATTACTCGTTTCACAAATAAAAGAACGAGCAAATAATTCCATGGTGTGCTCCATGGTTACTCAATCTTTCAATTAGTTTCCCATACACATTCTTTGCTACTTAATTAAGTTAGTTCGGTTATGTGAGAATCGTCTAACACTTAAGTATACTTATTCAAAGCATCGGAAAAAGTAAATAACCTCAAGGATTAATATTCAGACAGGCTCGAATTGACCAGTCCAAATTGACGACGCCAGTTCACGAACATGACATTTACAGCAACACCGCCCAACTCCATATTATAGTGAGTTTAGAAGAATTTAAAAGTATAAAATAATTAAAATTTAAATTGCTCGAAAAATCGATGGGCCATCTTACTTAATAATCACGCTCACATTTAATTAAGACAATTTTATTGTAAATGTTATTCGAAACAAGAAAGATAGAGATAAATGTTATGTACAAGGCTAAGTGTGCATATCGAACAAATTCGATTAGCCTTCACCGAGAACCTGGCTTCTTGCCAGAAACAATAAAAAACGTGCAAGCCTTTGTTAGCACAGGTGATGTACAAAATAATAAATAAATTCCTATTTCCTTGTTTTATGGTCGATTATTGATTAAAATAATTTGTTGCAATGTGCTAGCTTCTGTCACTGTGAATTATATACTTCAGATAATCAGATTTAGCAAACCTCCGCCTAAAGAAAAATTACTTATTTGAACAATTGTCTGATGTGGTAAAAAGGAATAGGCGCAAATTTAATAGTAATAGACTGTGTCTACATAGGGCAAAATCAACTCTGGCAGGGGAAAGCGTATTATGTATGGGGCCAAAAATATATAATAAAATCCCTAATGATATAAAAAATTGTAATGTAAACGTATTTAAAAATAAATTGAAAATAAATTTGACCAATAAATGTTATTATAGTATTGATGAATTCCTTAATGAAAATAATTTTAATATTTAATTATTTTTAATCCTTAATATTGTTAGCCGTTTTAATGTATTTAATGTATCAATGTAATGATCAGTTGTTTTTATTTTCTCTTTAATGTCTAATTGATTTGAGATTTACTTTACTTTTATTCTATTCTATCTAATACTAATTTGACTATAAGATATAATGTTTTAATTTAATTAATTTATGACACTTTATATTATTTTGCGCGCCGTGTGCCACGGCAAAACATGATGTACACATTTTTTTATTGAACATCCTGTTACCTATCATGTTTTATGCAAATAAAAGATTTGATTTGATTTGATTTAAAGTCATAGGACGTTTGCTACAGTATCTCAACTATTGCTATATTTGAAGACATCCAAATTATACGTTATACCTATTTCAAACTTTCATACATACACCGACTATTTAGGTTTACACATACTAATATTATAAAGAGGTAAGTAAGTTTGCATGTTTGTAAGTTTGTAAGTTTATAAGTTTGTATGTAGGGGATAACCTTTGAAACCGCTGGTCGGATTTCCAAAATTCTTTATCAGAATAGCTACAATATTCCTGGGTGCTATAGGCTATAAAACATCACGCTACTATTAAATGGAGCCGAGCCTGGTTTAAACCTAGACTACTAAAAGATAAATCTTATTTTGTAATAAGAGGTTAAAGTTCAAAATGGAAACAATAAAATATAAAATGAGCAACATATAACAAAAGCAAATAGTATAAAACCATTACGCCAAACCAAACAACACCCTATAAAAATATAGAACGTAAGATTTAGAAGGGAACACAAATTGAATTCGTAAGTAATTGCTGAGCGGCAGTCGAGTCATAAGTCAGGCGAAGTCGAAAGTTCGACCTGACGTACCGCCATAACAACAAACTAGCGAGGGTCTGTGCGGTGTGAACACAACCGTTCCCAACTTTGATCACAACTTGCTACACACACTATACAATATACAGGGTGAACAAGAACACGTGTAACTATTATGTGTTAAATGATGTAGTTAATGTTGAAAACAGATTATTCTATTAACACGGGTGAAATGGTGTTTCGTCGTTTTCATTGATCAATTGTTTTTTTTTTTAATTTTGTTATGATAGATATTTGTTGTCTTTTGTACAAAATACAAATAAAACAGGAAAATATGGTTTTCGAACTGATTTAGATTGTATGAATTTAGGTACAGGTGATTAGAAAATTACTTTTATTAACTAAAACAAAACTTTTGCTTAGAATTTACAAAACATTATCTAGATAATTTTTAACAAAGCAATCATCTGCTCCATTTCGAAATCCATTTTTATTTTTAGCAACATACTTAAAACTTTTAAAAGGTTAAATGCAGGGTTGTTATTTCGCGATCGTTGGTTAGAGAATGCCCTTTATTTAAAATGTCACCCTGTATGTCGAGCTGCGCTGTAAATATACGCGCCGCCATGACCCGACTTCTGTTTGTGGGAACCGTTATAAGTACGTTTCAGTTTTCTCGAAAAGTTTTCGAGTCTCGATCACTTGAGTTTGTCGTAAGAAAAAGCAGAAACCACATACATAAGTGCTAAAAAAGGTCAGGTTTTTTTAAGTCATACGTCGACATTCGAGCTTACTGATTACCTGATAGTAAGCAATCAGCGCCGCCCATAGACACTCGTAATACCAAAGGAATCACTACTACACTGCGTTGCCGGCCTCTTGTAAGTTATTAGGGATTTAAGGATTGAGGATGGGAGGGCAAGTATTGGGCTCCCGGTAATTTGACACACATGTTGCTTCACGCCGGTTTTCTGTGAAGTAGTGGCATCACTCCGGTGGAGCCGTCCCATCCGTGCCGAAGCATGCACTCCCACGCTTACAGCTTACTTACACGATTCGAATGTTTTTGAGTTTGTATTACAATCGAATCGTTCTTTGCAAAAGATCGAGTTTGAAGAATTCCATGGTCAGCAGATGTAGGTACATTTGCAAAGACAAGTATCGGTAATAGAAAAGAAATGTGGACGACTTCAGTTTCTCAAATTGATTCATTATTAACGTTAAAAATTTCACTTCACTTTGGTTAAGAACAAACTAAACTGTAACTCAAAATAAGTAAAGCTACTAAGTTTCGTTATTTAAAAAAATCTTACCCTATTCTTAGAAACGTTATTTCCTGGAGCCTTAACATTAAGAAAACCGAACGCCACGGTCCTTGTAATGTTAAAGAGAATACTTTTTATTCATTTTATTTCATATTGTCGTTAACTCAAACTAAATCGTTTGACAACCTTGTTGCTACAAGACTATTAAGTTACACAATCACTGCAAAACAAATTAATTTGATTTTACAAAGCGAAACTTAAAAAATCGTCCATAAACTGTTCGATCGAACACTTAGTTCCCGATAACAATGTAAACTTGCAACAAACTTTGTTGGTTTGAAACTCTTTACAAGGAGAATATCGTAAACGTAATATAGTACACAGTATACCACAACACTTTTTAATATCATAGATCGGTGAACGTGCAGACCGATTACCTGGGGCCCGAGTAAACTTTTTTCAAAGTGTTGTCATTCCTGCGCGATTCCATTGTCATTTTGCTAAAAATTCGTAATCTGTTAATTCAAAATGGATGATCATTGGCGTTCGGCGATGTCGTAATAAAATTATAGTACGAGACGTCTTGTAACGAATTATAAACAATAACTGCACATTTATATTCTAAACGTAAATCATTGAATAAAGGAACTGTTCTTTTTTATTAATTTTCCGCATTATGTCAAATATTTATTTGTGTATTTCAATGAAGTGGCATTGGAAACTCATAATGACGCTATCGTGTTAGTAGATTACCAAACTTGTCAAAATCAACAATTTTGAAACCAATGATCTACTATTCTGACACTATTGTATTACCAGACTAGAGGCCCTGATAGTAAGCAATCGGCGCCTCCCATGGATACTCTTAACACTAAAGGAGTTACGAGTGCGTTGCCGGCGGTTTGTGTAAAGGATTGGAGATAGGGAAGGTCTTTCTTAGATCCTTCTTGGGGCTTGGGTGACTTTACTCACACGGCGAAACACAACGTAGCGTTGTTTCAAGCCAGTATCATGTAAAGTCGAGGTATCTCTCATGTCGGACCGGCCCATTCAAACC